TGTAAAATTCAATCATTGTAAATTTCAATGTTTGTGCATTTGTTACAATGTTTATAATCTCTTTATAAACAACGCATTCAGCAAAATAAGAATAAAAATGAAATCGCTCAACTTAATCAAAAAATTCGTGAATTGAGTGAAGCTCTTATCAAAGAAGAGGGAGAAAAGAATAGATTGTTAATTGCAAAGAATACAATGACAGATCGATATAATAAATTATGGAATGAGGTACTTAACAAATTACCGTCAACTCCCGCTATAGTCACATCGTTTGGCAGAAATTTGATGTAACTATAACGAGAGATACACATCGTGTAATTATAGTGAGAGTTAATTTTATAATATTTAGCCATAAATGATTGGTATATAGCTTTAAAAAATTGGGACTATTGCGGGTGTTGACTGTACTTTATTACTCTTATGATTACTATAAATTTTTTACATAATTGAAATAATTTCTTTCTATTTAAGCATAGAAATTGTACTAATAAATCAGCTGGTGTGGGAACTAGTACTAGTATAATTACAGTTATTAATAATGGTAAACAAGAAATACAGAAATTTCTAAAAACACTTGAACCTGAAGAGAGACAAGCATTGTATGTCGCATATCATGACTAAATATTTATCGTTAACCATTAATCATTGTATATTAATATACGGATTATGATATTACAGATTGGCCGAATTTCTTGAATGTTGTCATCCTCATGACATTCACACTCAACAAGCAATATTAGAACATTACGCAAAGAAAACTTTTGACTTAGTTGGATCCCTTCCAAATGAACTAGCTACTAAAATTCTTTCGCTATTATCAGCCGAAAATCTTTGTTGTGCTAGAGAAGTGTCTAAACGTTGGCGAGAAATGGTTAATGAACCTGATCTTTGGAAAGCAAAATGTTTATCAACTACTCAAGATGATCCAGTTCCTCTTGCATATCCTTCTGATCCTAATCAATGGGAAGAGATTTATCGCGGTCTTCATTATCGTGAACATAATTGGGTTCTCGGTAATGTGCAATCTGTTAAATTCCTCAAAGGACATACCGCAAATGTTACAGCGTTGAAATTGAAAAAGACCACATTAGTTACTGGAAGTTATGATGAGACTGTACGAATTTGGGATATGAGGAATGGTAGGTGTATTAAAGTTTTACAGGGTAAAGCCATAAGTTGTATTGATGGATTTGGAGTTTTTCTTCAAGTGCATACGTACGAATCCA